GCCCCGAAATGCAAGCATCTCGGTACCATTTGGCAGTGCGGAATGGACACACTAACCACCTTGGTAGGGTTCGAGGCCTATCTAAACCTCTGCCGTGCTATGGGTCCGGCACCCGGTTGCAATGCAACTCCTCATCGAGCCAACACGACTCTCCCCGCATTCGGGTTTAAACCACAGGGCCAAGCCGCACGAGCAGATTGGAGCAAGCTCCAAGGGCAACTGCTCCCCGTGGTACCAGAATTAAGTCTCCGGTCAGACCTCGTGGCCGAAGCCACTCCCAGTTGAGTTACCATACTACTCTGGACTGGTAGCCATCACCATCACCAACACCACCTATCTACTCGACTCGTATTCGCCTTCTAAAAACTTCACGTGCGAAATTCCTCAAGTTCGTTACCGTCAAATGTGTGGAGAGGGTACTACCGAAGTCGTACCGTCCATCCGTCCATTTTACCCCCATGCTGTCAAGATTCCTCAAGTCCGAGTATCTCGGGCATTCGCAAAGCACGTGCTCGACATCCTCAAGCTCCGCTCCACACTCACACCCCTCAGAGTCATGGAGGTTCCTCTTGTGCAAAAAAGCATTAAGAGGACCATGCCCCGTTAGTAGAAAATCCAAACTCAAGCAATGCCCGAAGTCCGGATTCTCTCCCATAAACCCTACACTCGGAATGAAGGGGTATGTAACACGACCATTGGAACTACCATCCCAACGGTCCTGCCACATACCACGCACTCTGTCATCCAACAACCGTTTGTACTCAAGATAGCCCCTCTCCAAGTCACCGTCCGAAACCCACCTAGTCAACGGCAACATGTTCATGCCTCTTCTCATCCTGAAGGTCACAGCTCTCGCAATAACCACCAGGTCAAGAGGAGGCACTCCCATCAATACCTGAAGCGTCACATATCTAAGACTGACCCCGTTGACGCGAACCACCGGTGTACGTCCCAACGATAGCTTCCCCTTGAGTAACATTGTTACCGTCTTGCCAACCGAAGTGTCGACCCCCATACGTTGCCCCC